GCCTGCAGCAGCAGCAGCAGCAGCCAGCCTGCAGCAGCAGCAGCAGCAGCCAGCCTGCGGCGGCAGCAGCAGCAGCCAGCCTGCGGCGGCAGCAGCAGCCAGCCTGCGGCGGCAGCAGCAGCAGCAGGAGCAGCAGCAGCAGCAGCAGCCAGCCTGCGGCAGCAGCAGCCAGCCTGCAGCAGCAGCAGCAGCAGCAGCCAGCCTGCAGCAGCAGCAGCCAGCCTGCAGCAGCAGCAGCCAGTCTGCGGCAGCAGCCACCTTGGACTGTGCAGGTGACCCCGCCTCTCGCCCAAAGTGTCTCTAGAGAGAAAGGCACCAGCCCACGAGGGACGAGGTGTAAGAACATGGCTTAATAATAAACTCTTGTTCTGACACGTTTTGTCACTTCTCACTAAAACGAAATATAAAACATTTTTTATATTAAAGTTTGTTGTAACGAAAAGTTTTGCGTCTCGTTTTTCTTGAATGTTTCTGGTTTTAATGAGAAATAAAACGACAGGTGTTGCTGTTTTCCAGTTACCAACTCTTATTTAAAACAGAAGACATTTTGGTTTTAATCAGATAAATCTCGTTTTAGTCTTTCACAGCTCTGGAAGTTTGACATGATGAAGAATCTAACCCACAACCTGCTGCAGAGGAACGCCTGCATCAGCCTGACCTCTGACACCCCCAGCCCCTCCCAGGGCGGAGGACTGGGGTCGTAGGTCAGGGGGAACCTCAGGTCCACCACTGGACTATCAAATATAAGTGAGGCCATCAGAACCATCTGTTTCATCGTTCAGACTGTAAACATCGACCCGGTTCTGCTAACAACTTCACGTCAATGATGTCATGAAGTCCAACAAATCAAACGTCCTGTGAAGCTTTTTATTACTCGGCTGATTTTATGTTTTAGGTTTATTATCCTCCAGGCAGCAGCGTCTGATCTTCATCTCTGCCTCGCCACGACAAGTTCAGAGGTCAAACGCAGTAAATCAGAGCAGCTTACAAGAAGAAATAAAAGATGTTTGCTGACCTGAATCATGTGCTGCCTGCTCTGCTTGCGTCGGTCTCTCCAGAAAACGGAGACAGCTTCCTGTTTGTAGAAGACAGAGGAGAGACTTCCTGCGCCGCCGCGCTCTGGACGCGCTGTTCTGCCTTCGCACAATCACAGGAACCCCAGGCGGCAGGGAAGGCCGCCGAGCTGCAGAGACACGCAGCCTGAACCTGTCGGAGTTTAACCTCTCTGGTGCCGACGCAGCAGCAGGGAATCAGGCGTCTGCTTCTGCATTTTGCTCTGCTGCTGCTGTAAAAACCAAACGGTGACGTCTCCAGATGTGCAGCTTGGTGTTGGAGCTGATTGTCTCCTTGTCTCAGCTCAACGTTTCCACTGAGGGCCGATAAGGACATTTCTATTCTCTTAAAGTGGCGGTGCTGTGTGTTTTCCAGGCATATGGTGCCAATTTACAGCATAAGCCAGTAACTGTGTCACCTTCAACTGTTATAATGCTACATATATCAAATATATGTATATTTGATATATGTAGCATCCATCCATACATATATTTCACTTCCTGAAAATAAGTTAAATTTATTTCAGGAAGAGAAATAAATTTAACTTCCTGATTTAATGTCTTCAAATTGGGCCTCTGTCTCCTTAAGAACTCCTGCTGTTTCTAAAGCTCCGCCTCCAGGAAGTCATTCCAACATGGCTCCTCCATTAACCCTTTGGCGTTTCTACCAGCATTGCTCTGAGCAGCAGCTCCTATAATGAGCTGTTTGCTAATTGCTGCTGGCTAGTCTGAAGGAGCTGAGAGGGGGAGGAGCTGCGCCTCGAAGGCGGGGCTAGGTCCACCTGTTTAAACAGCTGAATGGTTGCCACGGAGACTAAAGGATTTCTCAAACATGAAAGAGTCAAAGCAACACTGCAGGTTTGATGTTATGAGGGAAAATGATGGAAAGATCAAAAAGTTGATTTTACACGACACCGGCCCTTTAAATAAAGTTTGAGTTCAAACATGGAGACGCCTGGTGACCTCAGACAGACGACGTATAAGATCATGTTTTCTCCTTCATCTGAAGCCGTAAGATTCAGTAAATTTATGAATAAAAAGTGACTGAGCATCCATCAGTCTGTTTACCAGCACCGCCTGCTGCTGCTGCATCACCGCCTGCTGCTGCATCACCGCCTGCTGCTGCTGCATCACCGCCTGTCTGCAGCATCACCGCCTGTCTGCAGCATCACCGCCTGCTGCTGCATCACCGCCTGTCTGCAGCATCACCGCCTGTCTGCAGCATCACCGCCTGCTGTGCTGCATCACCGCCTGTCTGCAGCATCACCGCCTGTCTGCTGCATCACCGCCTGCTGCTGCTCCATCACTGCAGCTCAACTCAAACCTGGATCCTCAGCCACCGTTAACGTTTCATGAAGCTAGCGATCAATAATCAATAGATTGCTGACTCTGCGCCGCAGGACGTCGGTGACTGGATAAATATTCTACTGGACAGTTTTAATGCGCCGCATCTAAAATCACAGCCAACCAAATCATTCAGTCCTTTCATTTGTGCAACTTCCTCTTTGATTATTAGATTGAACATTCATCCAAACTGAAAACTTCTCAGCTTTTTTTAACTCATTTTTGAAGCATAAACAATAAAGACTTTATTGCAGATTTATTGTTGAGTTGGATAATTTAATAATTGTTCATTTGTGAATAAAAGCAGCAACAGATTATTCACAACTGCCAAAACCGAAGGACATTAGAAGGACGGTGGTTCTAGATATTTCCTCCTAAATGACCGATTTCCCCATCTTATGGTTTTATTATGGATCTGTGGCTTTTAGGTCCCACGTTATAATGTGATACATTTTTCTGATGTTTAATTTTTATTTCCCACACGTTAAAATGTTTTTTTCCGTACTTGTGGCCTTTAGAAAGTCTTCGCACCCTGCTGGGTCAGCCTCTGGTTTCTGCTGCCATAATGAAAAACACATGAAATGCTCTGATTATACTTTATATTTAGACTCATGTGACTTCTAATTTCCCTGAATTCAAACTGAAAGTAACTGATTGAGAGCCAACCCGGGCCTGTGTGTGCAGCTGTTGTAATAAAGAAACCCAGTGAGCGGTTCTGGTTCTGACCAGTTAAACTTCTCCACTAACCTGCCAACCGTCTGATTAGCGAGCTGCTTCATCCGATTGAACTGCTTCTTCATCTTTGCTCCTCCGCCAGCTGAGTCTCTTCAGGTCGGGCTTCTCCAGCGGCTTCTGGCCCAGTTACCCGAACTTCCCGAACCGCCCAGCCGTCGCTATGACAGGGAAAAACAAGCCAGAACCATTGGAGCCCGAACCCAGTTAGAAAGCGGGTGCTAGCACCACCAGCTAGCCCCTCTTCCCTCTAGGAGGAGGAAATTCAGGGAAAAGTTTCCGCTGAGGTCCGACATCCCACCAGAACCTCCCAGAACCCTCCAGAACCTCCTTCTGGGCCCATTTACGTACATTAGAGTCCAGAAGTGAGAGGCGGCGAACTTTCACTGGCTCCAGCGGCTCTTCATGGCTGCTGTCCGGACCGTTAGCCGACGAGCTAGCGACGCTGAGCGCAATAATCCTGGAGGGGGGCTTCTTCCTCCGGCTCTCCTCTTCCTCTGCCTCTTCCTCTTCCCCGGACCGCCGCAGGAAGTTACGCCGCAGCTCCTCAGCATCTGGCAGCCCGAGGCCGCAGCTCCTCCCCGGACCAAACACCGCAGCTCATGCCCCTAAACATGACCCTCTGCGCTGCCCATAAGGAAACTGTAAAAAATAGCAACACCATGACCTATGGAACACCAACAGGGCCACACACAAAAACCCCTTGGACTCACAACGTTAATATTTTTGATTAAAATTGGAATTCTGAGGGGGGGATCTTTGAAATTAAATTAACTAAAAAAAAGTAAATTTTTAAAGAAAGAATTGTGAAGAATAAATCTGCAAAAAGAAAAAACAAAGACCTGCCTTCAGGCTACAAGTTGCCCACTGGGAACACTGTAGAGATTCCTCTTTAGTTATCAGTTATGAAATGTTATAAGTTCTTATTCACAGAAGACGGAGCCGACAAGTTGCACAGAGACTTTATTTAAAATTATTATATTAATTATTGTGTCACATTAAAACTTTTCATATCTGAGTAAATGTAGAAAAACAAGTCTGGATTTAAACTGTTCTGTGTGACCTGATGTTGCTGCAGGAACAGATTCCTTTATTAAATCTTCATATATTTTACCTAACATTGCCACCGTCAGAAAGCGTTGCTTTGGGTTTGTCCCGCCAGCGGCGCCTCGCTCAGCTGGAGCCAACATGGAGAACTCCTGCAGCAGACGGCGGATCAGCAGGGGCACCCAAACTTTTAATCACAAATCACAGAGTCAAAATGACTCACAGGCCCAAAAAACAGGGAAAAAGGACAAAGAAGAAGCTAAAACTTTTCACCTACTCAATAATAAACTGGGTTGAGATACTTTCATTAAATAAATTAATTTGTTGTTTTTTGCTGGAAAAGGTTGTGTAAACTTTTGTAAATTAAAAATGTTAAAAGGAGGTTTGTGTCTTAAAAGAAAGGAATCTACTTTTAAATTTTTAAAAGTCTGGATTGAAAATAATAAAACCTTTTTTATCCATTCTGAGCAATAAAGACAATATTTAGGTCATTTTTATTAAATTTCCAAGTTTAATAAATTGATTAAAGCCGATCTGGAGCTGCTGGACAGATGTGATCTTGGGGGTCGAATACTTTCTGTTCCAGCCAACATTTTCTATTGTAAGATTTTAATGTAATGATTTTACTCTGGTTGAAATAAAAATAAAAAGTTCTTCCACCAGCGTAAAGCTTCATGGTTTGTTTTTAAGTGTTTCTGACCAACAGGAACAGAATAAATTCAGTTTTTAAAGGTTAAGCTGGTCATGATTCTTCAGCAGGCAGGGCATCCTTCTCAGGGTTTCCCCCGTCCACGTCACCCTCTGACCCGACCCGGTCTGAGCAGAACCAGTGTCTCTAACGCTCCTCCTCACCTGCAACAGGTCAGGCATAAAGCAGCAATAAAACCCCATCAAACATCATAATAAAGCTTGGCTTCTGTTTGGAACTAACACTGAAACTTTCTGTCATTTAAAGTGATTTCTTTGACCAGAAACCGATCTGACATGGGAACTAAACCCCTGACAGGAAGTTGGTGGGTAGCAGGAACAGTTAGCTTTAAAGCAAGGTGGTGGCAGCATCATGCTCTGGGCCCAGTCTGCTGCCAGAGGAAGAACTCACTGACGTTTATCAAACATTCGATCAGAACTCAAAAATTCAGTTTGATTTTCAAACAAGATGACCAGCGAAGCAACCAGAGAGGTCCTACAGGATTCAATAAGCCGACCCACATAGCGCCTGAACAGAAACGCCCCAAACCAAGAAATACAAATTCTGCCAGTAGGGGGCGCCAGTCAGCTAACTCAGCAGAGGGGTCCAAACTTCTCTTCACTGAGAGCAAAATACCCAAATATAAAATCACCTAAAATTGTCTTGTGAATCCCGTTCAACAATAAACTCACCTTTCTAGATTTTGATTTTAAAAATAAAGAGTTTATGCTTTTGTAGGAGAGGGATGGAAATTACTGTAGATCCAAAACATAAAAAGTGGTTTTTCATTTTATTAGAAGGAAAGTAATCCTCTCTGCTGATAGTTTTAAAAACAAAGTGTCTATTTTCATCAAAAGGATCAGGACTAAGGTCACTGTCCCTTTAAAAACACTTGCTGTAGTTGAGTTTAAAGGGCCGGTGTCGTGTAAAATCATGTTTTGATTTTTCATCATGTTTTTATGTTTTTCCCTCATAATATCAAACCTGCAGTTTTGCTTTGACTTTTTCATGTTTGAGAAATCCTTTGATCTCCATAGCAACCGCCCAGTTGGACCTAGCCTTGCCTTTGAGGCGCAGCTCCTCCCCCTCTCAGCTCCTTCAGCCTAGCCAGCAGCAATTAGCAAACAGCTCATTATAGGAGCTGCTGCTCAGAGCAGCACTGGTAAAAACATTAAAGGGTTAATAGAGGAGTCATGTTGAAATGACTTCCTGGAGGCGGAGCTTCAGGAGGAGCAGCAGTTCTTAAAGAGACAGAGGCCCAATTTCAAGGAGTCATATTTGATATATGTAGCAGCTGAAGGGGGCATAGTTACTGGCTTATGCTGTAAAATAAAACTCTGTGCCACAGAATAATGGCTCTTTAATGATTCCAGTATTTCATTTGTTTCCCCTGAACTGATTCTGGACTCTCCTGACCCAGCAGATCCTGAACACAGAGTTCTGAAACAAACCGGGCCGCAGAGAGAACCGGGTCACTGGTACCTTTGGTTTGGATGAAGTGGATAGAGTGGCTGAAGATTCAGAACCGGGATGTCCTGTTTTCTGGACCGTCGTTCAGGAACTGGTGGCCCAGTCCGGAGCCACACTTGCCACACAGAACCTGTGAAGGAGAAACAGAAGGGCGTTAGTCCTTCATGGTTCTGGTTCTAGTCCTGGTCCTGGTCCTGGTCCTGGTTCTGGTCCCGATTGGACCTTGAAGGCGGTGAGGGTCTCCATCATCTTGGTTACTCTGTCTTCAATCAGCGTGTCGCTGAATGCCGGCCATGGAGACGAGCGGAGCGGCTGGAGAACAGGGGGAGCAGACATACAGTCCTGCATGGAGGAGGTCAGAGGTCATTCTGGAGGGAGGAGGTCAGAGGTCACTCTGGAGGGAGGAGGTCAGAGGTCATTCTGGAGGGAGGAGGTCAGAGGTCATTCTGGAGGGTAGCATCACTGCTGCAGCATCCAGATCAAATTCAACAGAATCATTTCTCATCAAAATTCTCTTCCTTCCTGGAGGGCGACTTGAAAGGTTCAGATACACAGCCTGTATTAATATTATTATTATTTTATAATAGTAATAGTAATAGTAATAATAATAATAATAATAATAATAATAATAATAATAA